CTCGTGTTCAGGCTAGAAACGGCTGTGGATGAGCCTGCCACCTCCAAGTTTTAAGAAAAGAGCTCAGAACACAAGAGCTAAGTGCTGGCTTATGACTTAACAGCCTACCTCCTCCAAGAATATAAGAAGTTTCTCATGTGAAAAGGCTCAAGGCAAGAAGGAACTTATGAGGTAATACAGTTCAACTTCTTCACATTGTAAGATGAGGAACTGAGAACTGAAGGGACAATCCAATGTCCCAGCATCCAGCAGGCTGGGAGTAGAAACCTGGTCTGACCCCTTCATACTGGGTGATCCACACAGAAGAACCCAAAAAATTAATAGATGGAAGTACAGTAGAGATTTTGGAGCTAGAGAAAGGGTAAGACTCAAACTCACTCTTGGTAGTCAGGGTGACAGTGATATTGAAGGTGGGGGCTCCGGAGGTGCTCTTGGTACGAAGATCCATGGTAAATTCCCCTTCCTGCATCAGTGAGTCCCGGATCACAGAACATTTCTGGCCCCCAAGCGTTAGCCCATTCACGAAAAAACTCGACCGGTCTTTGCCAACCAGGGTACCAACCTCAGCTGGCTGGAAGGGGAATCAAGCACCCATCAAGTTAGTCACTACACCACGGTTCCCACCTTTTTCTCCAAGGACCCACCTGCCTTCCATTTCTCCGGGAAGCTAAACCCCCTGGGGGTGAGATGTGTATATTATGTGCTTTGTACACATCCGTGAAATTTGAGAGACTCAGGACTGTTGGAAGCTAGTACACAAAAAGTTCATGATCTTCAAACCTAGAGAACGGTAATAAGAAGGGACAATATATTCTTCTGGAAACTTAGATGTCGTTTAATAGGGAAAGCAAACCCAGGAAATAAAGGGGGCCAAAAAGCAGTTAAGAGAATGGAGTGGAATGGAGTGGGGAGCCTTTGGATGCTCAGAACTCCTTCAGGAAAAGCAGAAGCGAAGAGGGAAAGGGAGGGGGCGGGCAAAGCAGGCGAAGCAACTTTGCCCTTATTTGGTCAAAGGTTCTGCAAGAGTTGTTAGGGGCCCGGACGCCTGGGTCTCCAAGTAACCTAGAGTTTAGATCCAGGTATTTAAGCTCTAAGATGAGGAAGCAGAGGCCTGGGGGCTTCCCGGGAAAGTTGAAAAACTTTTGGAGGGGACCTGGGACTAGAGCCGGCAAGCCAGCCCTCGGGTCTAGATACCCCAGGGAACGTATCTCCCCCTCCCCCTTAACACCCCAAATGCCCACATCCGGTCCCCTCCCGCCCGGAAATCCCCTTCCCCCCCATTTCGAACTTCCGCTCCCCCTCCCCACTTCCGGGCAGTGTGGACAGAGGAGGTGGTGATGGGTACAGCAGTACTCGTCCCTTATTCCTTCACTTAAATACTGTCCTAGAACTTCTCACAAAGTTCCCCTGCTCCAGGCCCCGCCGGATGGCGGGAAAGGAGGGCGAGGGGACTTCCGGGGCTGGCCTCACAGGAATGTTGAGTCCGACGTGCCGACTTGGGGTGGGGGGAGGTCGTGTGGCGGCCTAGCCCTCTTACGGAGTTGGGAGGAGCAGGGAGCCCATGGAGGACGGGCATGGGACCCAGGCCATGCGACTGGGGCTCCCTCCCCCATAAGGAGGAACAATGGTGAAGGGGGCGCGAGCTGGCGGCCGGAAGTAGAGCTAGGGGGTCCAGGGGTCCCCAAGTCCCTTCTCAATCACAGTCCCAAGCGGAAATTGCGGTGCGTGCCCGACCCACCCTGGAGGAGGCGGAAGTGGGCCGCCGCACCGGGCGGTGCGCCCCTCCCCGCCCTGTGTCCCGGATGTAACGCCCCGTCGCGGAAAGCGGAGCGGCGGGCTGGCTGGGCGCCGCCGCCCGGGGCGTAGGACTCAGGAGGCCACGGAGGGACCCGCTCACGTGCAGCCGCCATTCGCGCCACCTCCAGGGCAAGGACCGGGTCACCGCCTTTCGCTGCCCTCCCCAGACCGCGCCCGCCACCACCCAAGTCCCTCCCTCAGGGTGCAAGCCCGGCCAGTCTCCGCGCAGGCCTCGCAGTACCGTGATGTTGACGAAGGTCTTCCCGGGGACGGCGGCCCAGACGGAGGGCGAATCCTTATAGCCCACGATGGCCGCGTCCTGACACACCCCGTCCGCCATGAGGTTTTCGATGTAGGCGTTCCAGCCGGCCATGGCGCTGCTACTGGGGTGCTCTCGGGGCTGCTGCTGGGGCCACGGGCTGGGCTCGGGCTGCCTCGGGCTGGCGGGCGGGGGAAGGCGGAGAGCTTGGGGCACGCGCTGCTGTCCGGACCGCGGCTCTCCTAGCAGTGCATCAGCCCTCGCACCGCCACTTCCTGCTCCTCCCCACCCCCCTAGATTTTTATTTGCAAAGGGCGGTGGGGGCGGGGCCTGCTCCCCATTCCCTCCCTCCTTCTCCTCGCCTGCCCAGATAGCGAACTTTGCAAGTGCAATATAAAAAAATCCCCCCCCACTGCAAAATTTGCAGAGTTCGATGGAAAGCGACGCAAAAAGGATGGGGGGCGGGGGTGGGTTAGGGTTAGGGCTCCCTCCACTTCGCATAGAATATCAGTCAGACTTTGGTGTACGGAAAGGGAGTGAGCCAGAGGGAGGAAGGAAAGTGAAAAGAGAAAGAATTAGCAAACTGCAAATTTAGCAAATTAAAGAGGGTTCGGGTAACTCAGGGTTAAACGGAATGACTCCCCCTTCCCCCACCTCTGCCGTGGCGGGGGGGTGTTGGGGGAAAGGAACGGCGGGCGGCGGCGGCGCCTGCGCCCGCGCCTGCGCCCGGGCCGGGAGGGAAAGCGCGTGGCGCGTTTAGGGTTGGCTGCTGGCTTCGCGGGCGCACGCCCGGGCGCACCGGGCGGGACGGATTTGGACCCCCTGCGAAGAAAGGCCGGCCGGGGACGTGTCTCCCGCCGGGCGGAAGGGGCGGGGGCGAGGCGTGCGCATTGCCGCTTCTGCCCCCCCCTTGATTTTATTTATTCGAGAAATAAGGGAGTAAAGGGAAATTTGGCAAAATAACCCGGCCGTTTTCAGAATTGAAGGCATCCACCAGGGACACTTCTGTCCCCAGCATCTACCCGGGCGACACAAGTGGCACTGGCTGGAGCCCACCTCGACTCCAGGGGATTATCCCTCGCGCTGGATCATCTCCAGCCTCAGGCCTCACCCCCACGTCACAGCTCCGCCTGTCCCCCGGTCAGCAGTTTGGGTCACCGGCCGTGCCCCTTGGCCCGTCTCTATAGAGGTCACTGAGCGACCGTGGGGCGAGACAGGCGGGCTTACTTTTCAAGGCGGAAGAATACTAAGCGGTTTCATGATTGCAACTTTTTCAAGAAGGGGAAAGTCCCTTCTACGTTGGCCCGTTACGTTTTTTCTCCTTTTTCAGTAAAACTTATGGTAAGAACTTGTGTGCAATTAGTTCACTCACCGCCCACCGGGAAGAGGGTGGGGCAGGACCCGGCGGCCTGCTTAGGTGAACTAGCCCTTGCTGGCCGCCCGGGCAGCTGAGGGGCTTGGCCACTTCCGGTCCCTCGGGGGAGGGGCGCCTCCCGGGCGGGAAGGGCCTCCGCTCTTCTCGGGTCCTCGCCGGCGGACGTGGTGCCCTCGCGGCCACTCCGAACCCCAGGGGCATCCACGCTCCCCCAACCCGTGTTCCTCGACAGCCGCGGTGGCTGAGTCACTGGGCGGCCCGGGCGGGGCCTCACGCGGGCACGTGGCGGCGCTCCCCGCCCGCCGTCTCCTGACCCTTGGCCTGCCGCACCCCCTTCCCCAGGGTGGAAATCTCCGGAGAGGGAGCGGCCAGAGATAAGGGGGGGGAGGGCGAGATGAAAGACCGGGGGTAGGGATCCTGAGATGGGGGCTGGGAGACACACCGCGGGGCCGGCAGGGCGGGGAGGGGAGCTCGGGAGAGAGCCCGGGGCTGAGTCACTGGGCGCCGGCCGCTGCGGCGCCGGCGGAAAGGTCTTCCGAGTCGGGGGCGACGAGCAGGGAAGCTGATGATTCTCGTTCGCCGGCCGGCCGGCCGGAGCCCGGGCGTGCCCTCAGCTTCCGGCAGGGGCTGCAGCCAAAGTCGGGGCAGACCTCAGGCCCGCCGAGGCGGAGAGAGTCACCGAGTGCAGAGACCCACTTCCCTGCAATGCTGCTAGCCGACCACCCAACTGGCCCCCAGCGGTCAGACGCTCGGAAAGGGCCACCCCCTCCTCTCGTCCATTCATTTTTTTCACTTTTGATTCAGCATCATTCCCTGATGGGCTGGGATCACGACCTGAAGCGCCCGCGGTCGGTGGGGAGAGGGCTCCTGACTCCACGCAGGGCGATAAGTGCTGTCCTAGCGCTATCAGTAGGGAGCCGCGCCAACTCTGAGGGCCTGTCTAAATTCGTCAGTCTGTCCCCTCCCCCACTGCCCTTGCTGGCCGAGAGAGGGTAGGATGGGGTGGAGCCGAGGGAGGCCGCAATGGGGACCCTGAGAGGTGAGACTCTCACCTTCTGAGTGGGGAGTACAATTTTAGAGCTCAGAGCTTGCCCAGAACCCCCTGCCCCTGCCCCCATTGAGGACAGAGGCAGTCCCCCGCCCTCCAAGTGAGCTGAGCACGTGTGGATGTCGTTCCTGCAGCCCCTCTTCCAGGCCCCCTCCCCAGCCCTGCAGGACTCAGGTTACCCTTGGCCTTTCATGAAGGGCACTAGTTCCTCTTTAACCTTTGCAAAAGAATATAATCCTGGGGAGAGGAGAACCCCCCACCATTCTGAAGCCCTTCCCCTGTTTCTCCCCAGGAGTGGAATTAAAAATAAGGGCTTTTATTGGAGAACAGAAAGGAGGGGGTAGTCATTGATCTTTTGGGAAGGGGGCAGGTGTCTAGGGCCAAAGGCTTCTGTTTTAGGCTATAGTGGGCACTTGGCTGCCAGCTGGGCTGGAGGGGGAAGATGGAGAGGGTGAGAGGCGGGGCTGGCTGGGGTACAGGGTGGCTGGAGGATAAATGCCCAGCCTGAGAGGGGGTGAGCTGACACTGTCCCAGCTGCCACCTAGACTCAGGAGCCCTGCGAAGAAATCCCAGGTCTGGTGAATCTTTCAGCCCCGGGGGATAGGGGTGGTAAAAGGTGAGGGTGGTGCCGCTTGGAGAAGGGGGGGAAATGTCAGCATTCTTTTCCTTCTGGGACTGGGGGTGCTTGAGAAGCCTGGAGGGGTTGGAGCAAGCAGGATGGGGGTGCCCAAGGACAGGGAAACAAACGAGACTGTGAAGAGAGGCAGGCAGAGACGATGGAGAAGCGTGGTTAGAGTTGGAGCCAGGTGGGGGAATCTGGGGCCCCTGAGGATTTGGAGAAGGCTGAGGAGCAGGAAAATGAGGTAGACTAACAGGAGAGCATCCGAGGGCTAGGAATCCGTGGAGAACAGAGTACTTGGCCAGAGGGTGGAGGGAGAAGGCAGAACTGCAGCTTTGCAGGAGGTGGGGTTGAGCAAGTAGTGGAGTTTTAAGAGAGGCCTCCAGATTCTTAAGACCGGAGAGTGGAATGGGAGCTGTTCAGAGTGGGGGAGGGGCTGCGCCTGCCACTTTGGCCTGTGACCTTTTTGTGGGATATTTTTAGCTCCAGCACCTGCCTTCTTGGGGCGGGAAGACTCTTTAAAGGGCAAGGGATTTCAGGTTCCTTAAGGGGTCAACGGTCTGCACTCACTCACACTTCTCGCCCTGCAGCCATGGCCATGCAGAAAATCCTTGCCCGAGAAATCCTGGACTCCAGGGGCAACCCCACAGTGGAGGTGGACCTGCACACGGCCAAGGGTAACACAGGCCCATTGAATGGGTTTACCTGGGAAGACCCCAACTCCATCTGCCTTTTCCCCCCAACTCTATGCCACATCCACTTCTTTCTCTGGGATCCCCTCTCCCAGCCTGCTCCCCAGCAGGGAGCAGCACGAGTCTCTCTACACTGCCTCCTGCCCCTGGGCTCAGAGAGGAGACAATCAGTCCTTTGGGGGTGAATGGGACTGACTCTCTGTGATCTTCCGATTCCTCCCACCTCAGGCCGATTCCGAGCAGCTGTGCCCAGTGGAGCTTCCACAGGTATCTATGAAGCTCTGGAACTAAGAGATGGAGACAAATCTCGCTACCTGGGGAAAGGTGAGGAAAGACCAAGGGGGTGGTTTCAGGACGTGGTATGCGATGTCTGCACAGGGTAGAGGACGGGAACCCAAAGCTCTTGAGGAGCTGGGGGTCACGGGAAGAGACCTAATTGAATAGAAGATCTGAACCCCCTGCTTCGGCCTCTAGGGGTCCTGAAGGCCGTGGAACACATCAATAAGACTCTAGGCCCCGCACTGCTGGAAAAGGCAAGTGGAGGACCCTCTCTCCCCCTCACCTGCTACCTGGTCCCAAGTAGCTCAGGCTTGGCCAACCATCCCATCTGCCCCAAATACCTGCACTTCTCTTTCCTCCAGCACATGCCCTGACTCCTGAGAAATCTAACCTCTGTTCTCCCCTCCTCAAACCTGCCCTTCCAGAAACTAAGCGTGGTGGATCAAGAAAAAGTTGACAAATTTATGATTGAGCTGGATGGGACAGAGAATAAGTGTGAGTGAAGGGCTAGGGACAGGGGACGGGATGGGCTGTGGGAGGGGCAGGGGCGAGACCGCGGACTGAGGTCTGGTTAGGATTATTTCTGTGTCTTGCATTTTGCGGCACACCGTAACTGGCTGGATTTGTATTCATCGCACAGGCATTTCCTGATGCCTGCCCTGTGCCAGGCTTGGGCCAGGCTGTGGACACAGCTGTGAAGCCAACACATTCCCCTGGGCTGGGTGTTCCCAGAGCACCTCAGGCTGTTGGGGAGAGATCTGTTAACAAACTCAGTGCCCAGTGGTTTGGAGTTCTGGATTCCTTCTGGAGTGACCAGAAGGGACGTTCTAGGAGCTGACCCTAAACCCTGTGTGAGATGCTCTCACACTTTCTTTGTACTTGCTTCCTCCAGCCAAGTTTGGGGCCAATGCCATCCTGGGTGTGTCCCTGGCTGTGTGCAAGGCCGGAGCAGCTGAGAAGGGGGTCCCGCTCTACCGACACATTGCAGATCTCGCTGGGAACCCAGACCTGATCCTCCCGGTCCCTGTGAGTGCAGCTGCCCGCCGCATCCCACGGTGACCCCACCCAGCAGGGAGGGCATAAGCAGCCCCTGGGAAGTCCACATTTCAGACCCAGCTCCAAAGAAATGGTTTTCTGAAATGGAACCTCTCCTGCTGCGGTCCAGCCCTCCCCCTTTCCCACAATCCAAACCTTCCCTTTAACCTCTCTCTGCCACTTTCCCTTGATGTAACCAGGTTCCTTCACACTCCAATGCCAGGCTCAGTAACTCCAATTCCTCATTCTGCCCCCCGTGCCCCAACCCCAAGTCAGATCGAGAGCTTCATCACGGCAAAGATCTTGCCATTTTATTTCTGTATCTTCTTAGTACTTATCAAACCAAATTTGCTCTTTATGGAAATCCTTTGAATTTCATTGCAGTAATAATGTTACCATTTATTGTTACTTACTGGCTAGACTGTATAAGAGCCTGAGCTCTGGAGACAAGCTCCTGGGTTCGAATGCTGGTTTTGTCCCTTTACTAGTTGTGTGATTTTAGGCAAGTTTATTTAATCTCTCTATGCCTCAGTTTCCTTAGCTGTAAAGTGAGGGATATTAAATTGTACCTAGTTACAGGGTAGTTTTGAGAATGAAATGAGCCAATAAAATATAGGTAAAGCACTTAGAGCAGTGCCTGGCCTGTAGTAAGTGCCATATGCCATATCAGTGTTAGCTGCTACACCAGGCACAGGCTAAGAACTTTACATCCAGTTGCTCTAATTTAACACATAAGATCCGGCAGGTAAGCAGGTGGTGTCCCCATGTTATAGAAATGAGGAAGGAGTCTCTGAGGAGTAAAATTATTCATCCTAGACCATTCAGTAAGTAGGGGATCCAGGATTCCACATCGATGCCCAGGTCTAAGCATCCTCTCTCCATCTCAGGCCTTCAATGTGATCAACGGGGGCTCCCATGCTGGAAACAAGCTGGCCATGCAGGAGTTCATGATCCTGCCTGTGGGAGCCAGATCCTTCAGGGAAGCCATGCGCATCGGTGCCGAGGTCTACCACCACCTCAAGGGGGTCATCAAGGCCAAGTATGGGAAGGACGCCACCAATGTGGGTGATGAGGGCGGCTTTGCACCCAACATCCTGGAGAACAATGAAGGTCAGTGTGAGCGCTCGGAGGGGCAGAACCCCTGGGTCCCCATGGAGACGGGGTGCACCGGAGCCTCAGGTCCTCTCTTTCC